AGCTCAAGACGCTAATAGCAAAAATCTTTCTACATTTTAAGTCCGTGATTGCACATACAGTGAATATTATTTAATAATTACCTTTTATATATTAAAATAATAATTATTTTTTAATATTTTTATAAGTTAAAATTTTTAAGAAAATTTATATATTTATCTATATTATCATTAAGAGAAATTTTTAGTTATGAGATGATTAATTAAAATAAGTAATTAACTCTATCAAAAAGATAAATAGTTAAATATAGGATTAAATTAAAAATATTTATTTATTTATATAAAAAATAAAAAATAAATTTAAAATAAAACTAAAATTAAAATTAATAATTACTTTAAAATAAAAAAAATTAATACTTAATAATTGAATGTAATGCGTATCACTAACATCAAAAGAAAAATTAGTAGTACCCTTTATAATAATAATAATAGTGAAAGGTTGCAATTTAGGTAAGCAGCTTTGGATTTTGCACAGAAAAAATTGTGTCCACATAAACTCAAACTTCCTATCAAAGCAGCGGCTATTAGCAAAGCCAAGCGCGCCGACAATAGACTGTTGATGTTAGGAGTTAATTAGGCAAGAGTTCGCCCGCCACAGCAGCACATGTGCCTGCACTCGTCACAGTTTGGCAATTTCCAAAAATTGCACCCATCATCCACAGTGCCTCAAACGACAATCCAACTCTGAAGTCCAAACACTGCTTTAAATTTTTTCAACCAAAATGCCGACCAACCAGATCAGAATGGGCATGCAGTTATGAGAGCAATTAAATTAATTAATTAATTAATTAATTAAATTAAACCTTATTAGTATCATAATTCAAAGAAAATGATTTAATAGTTAAAAATTTGATATTTTAAATAAAAAATTTTAAATTTAAATTTTAAAATAAGTAAAAAATAAATTTTAAAATAAATTATCTCTCATTATATAATTTATTATTATTAAATATATTAAAATAAAAAATTATGTTATAATCTATCTTATAACAAATTATAATATCATATCCATTGAAAGGGAGGTCCTTGATGGGTCCTCCTCCCGATGTTACAAGGTGGCTGGTAACAGGATTAGATATTACAAAAAATAAAAAATAATTTTGAGATAATTTTTTTATATTATATTTTAATATAATTTAATATATTATTTAAATAATTAATATTTTTATTTATTAATGTATATGATATTAAATATATTAATATATTTAATAATATATAAAAATTATATCAAAAAATAATATAAAAAATTATTCCCATAACAATAAATAAATAAATAAACTCTTTTGCGATGGCCTGGCCGGTTCTATCTATTATGAGTTTTTACGAAATTATCACTGGGTTAAGACAACAAGTTGCGATGTCCGAGGAAAAAGAAACAGATGTGTCGGGTGAAGAAGAGAGGGACATGGAACGATGACAGTAAAATAATACAGAAGCAATGATTGGGGGAAGAGCCATGCGGGGAGTAATGATAGATTGTTTCAGAGCTTGGTGTTCGGATTTTGATCAATTAGATTCTTCCTATGCATTTGCTTTCACGTGCGTTATTTTACTTCTCATCATGAAGTCGCATACCGAGATAATGACTTTTTTTCCTTGAGAGGAGTGGTGATCTTGCACCATTTTCGAGGCTATGGATATGGCTTGGCTACAGTGACACAACTTATCTATTTTGTATTAATTTATAAATTTTTATTAAACAATTAATTATGATTTTTGAAAAAACATATATTTATTTATAAACTAATTTTAATTTATTAAATATAAATATTAATTATTTTATTAATTATTAATTATCTATTACCAATGTCACTTTTTTTTAATAAATTTAAAATTTTAAAAATAAAAAATTCAAAATTCAACATTTGAGTTGAAAGATATATTTTACAAAA